GCCTCTCCCCACAATGGAGGCTTTTTTTGGTTAAGAAAGAGAAAGAAAAAGGGGGGGGGGGGTGGGGTTGTGGGGGGGGGGGGGTTTGTTGGGTTTGGGGGGGGGGGGGGGGGAGGGGACAGGGGATTAGCAGAGTGGCCTTTTCCTCTCCCCTGTTGGCTCTTCCCATTCTTATCCTCACTTTGTTTTTGCTTTGCAGCATGGTGTCGCTCCAGAGCGCTTTCACTCACCTTGCCAGCATCTATGCTAATTTATTGGAACAAAAGAAAGCATTTACAGGAGAAAAGAGTTCAACTCCCACAGGATTTGCTGGGTACACCAACATGGCTACAGTTTCATTGTTTTCGAACACCAATATGGCCGCCGTGACGTCATGTGAAAACACCCTATAACAAACTTGATCTCCCGCGACCATTCTTATACCCAGAAATTCACAATACCACACAACATATGCATTTTATACGGTGACACATATAAAGACCATTATATTCTGATTGTGATTATGATTATGATTATCGTCGTTATCTCTAATTCGTGGAGGTGTTCATGATTATTTTCCCGGGAACAACAAAATTTCTAATTTTATTCTGGTCTTAAAGAAGTGCAGACCTTTGCAAAGTTCTGGCCCTACTTAAAGTCCTATTTTCTTCATGTGACTCAGTTTATAAATTCTTCGGTATCACTGCGGCCAGACGTCACACAACGAATGATACTACTTAGTATGTCTTTGCTCCCTAGACAAACCAATATAGTTAACGTATTCCTTGTATCTTGTAAAGTCTTGATATCCCAGTTTCCTGTTTTTCTCGCTCTTTATTTGCAATGTTCCTATCGCCAGATACCACGGTGTCTATAATGAAGATTTATTATTCTTATCATGGACAGTTCTGACAGTTACATAATGCGGGTATCAGCGGCCATCCCGGGGGCTCGACCCCCGGGCACCCTAGGGCATTTGTCAAAACAGCTCTGACAAATGCTTTTTAAAGCCCCTGGGGAAGAGCTTAAATATTTTGACAAATGTCCCCACCCCTAGGGCAGTGCTGTATTCCAGCAAGCAGTTTTCACAGAACGAACGAGAACGCTGTTGGTTTTCACATGAAGTCACTAAAATTCAAACTACAAAACTATTGATCCTACCGAGATTTTACTTTGACGATGTATTAGAGCAACTGAAAACTAACTTATATACAAATTTTCGCTTTAAAAGGGTTCTTGGTTTTGTGATAGAGTACGCTTGAATTTCTAAGCTTTTGCGTGACGAGGCATTTACATGACGGCTAAGAGAGCTCCCATGTAGGTTAAAAAATGATTTATTTCAGGGAATTTTGCTATCTAAACAGTTCACGTATTAGAAAAAGTATTACTTGAATGTTTATGAGTTTCTCGAAGAATGAATTCCCGCTTTTTTTTCCCGCAGATGATTTTATAGCAGATTATTCCTGCGGGACTGTTTTCTTAGGTCACTTGCTACTGTATCACACACTTTACAGACTTCCCAACGAACAATAGCCTACGAGAGCATCCGGTATTTTCGGCTCTTGTTTCACCTGCCGAGAAACTAGAGCCGAAAAAACCGGATGCTCTCGCAGGCTAATTGAACATCCAGAGCCAACGTTTGACATTCATCTGACATTTTCCACACATGTAAAAATAAATCAGGGTTAAGTTCACTTTGCTCATTTTTTTTATCCGTTTCGGACAGAACTGTGAAGAATGCTTACAAGTGATCAGAGGTCACAAAGGTACTTCAGTCGCATTCTAAGGTTTTAACCTTGGTTGCCTAATTGAGTGCTCACGGAACGGGTACGTTGTTGAAGAGCTCACCCAAATTTCTTTATTTCAAGGTTACTCACTTTGTTATAGTTACTCAACCTCATCATCCTCAGCGCTTTTCTCCCAGATAGTCGGAGGGGTGGATAAATCTAAGAAAAAAAGCCCTGGGTACCCTGTGTTCAGCTCTCAAGCACACAGTAACAACTCTTGTCCATGGCTGCTATAGCCTGCGCGTAGACGAAACTAAACCTTGGTTAGCTAACCAGAGTTTAGTTTTGTCCGCGCGCAGGCTATGGCTGTCACTGCCGGGTGATATGGTTGTGCACATGCGTAAGGTACTGGCCATCGCCGCGGAGACTGCTGAGTTAACGTTGGTACCGTGAACAGGGCTGAAATTGGTATTGACCCTTTGTACAGCCGCACTCTCCCCTCAAGCTAGGGCGAGCGTAGTACGTGAGGAAAAACTGTTTGAATGCAGAGGTCCACGCCACGTGTAAAAATAACTGACTGGCTCCTCTTGCCGGATCTCTAATTAAAGAGATGCTGTAGCCAGACGTCACTTAAAGTGTATTATAGGCCTATAATAAATCAGCCCTTCGCCGTAGTGCCAGCCCTACATTCAGTTTTTGTTTTATTTTGTAGTGAGTGAGGGTTCACGGTTAGGTAGTTTAAGTGAGCCTGGCTGACTAACGCGCCCACGCCTCATAGCCGTGATCGTGATGTGATCGTGATGTGTGTTTATTGTGTAGTGGAGACAAAAATAATAGCCGTGATCGTGATGTGTGTTTATTGTGTAGTGGAGACAAAATAATCGATCTTTTACTTAAATTAGCCTGTAACACTACTCTCGGACCAAAAAAGTTAGTTGCATGATCAGTAAATGACAGTTTTGCGCTGCAAAACTTGCCAAAAGTGCAAATATGTTAGCAGTGCTTGTTTTTTGAAATAGACGAAAATTATGCTCGTGATGTCGAATTATGCCAAAAATGATGCTGGCACAATTTATCAAAGCCTAATTTAACTACTCATCGATGTTAAATTTTTAATCGGCTCTTTCGGGCATATACAACCTGCGAAAACAGCCGTTTCTCGCCCCTATCCGCGCCGCTTGGGACGTTTCGAAAGAAGTAGGCGACGTCTCTCGTTGTGAAACGTCCCAGTCGGCGAGGAGCTCGAGCGAGAAGAAACGGCTGATTTCGTAGGTTAGCATAATAGACTGATTGTAATTGACTGAAATAAGGGAAAATAATCATTCCTATCACACTATCTCTCAAAAAAGATCTCGTTTGCGTCTGCCACGATACGGGATGACACGGGATACGCGTAATTTTGTGTTCTTTTTTTCACGTTTTGCAAAAAGAGTGGGATCCAGCAAAACGAACTTTGATTTTCTCGCAAAAGATTTC